TTTGCATTTGGGTTTTGTTATGGGTGGGACTTGTTACTGATTCACTTTATTTTCCCAAAATATGTGCTCTTTGTTGTGGTGACAGTCATTAGAAATGAGGATATAACAATAAGTCATTGAGAGTCAGTTAATAAAATAACTATTTAGTAGAAAACTAGTATTGGGCTCTCCCTTATGTTGTGTGTCCTGTCTAGCCTCGGGTTCCTAAGCCTGATATCAATGTCAGGTATGGGCTCTAGGAAAGGAACCTTATCCAGTTAAAGAATGGTTGGTTATTCCCATAATATTTGTGCCACTACTGCACCATTGGGCATATCTTGTCAGGCCAGTTATTATTGTAGGTCACAGGATTCACAGCTAGGTAAGGTTAATGAGTACTTTTTCCTTCCAGTAGCTTACATATCACCTTCCAGCACTGTGGACACTAGCCGGTAGAGATGAGGCTCTGAAGTCAGCACTAGCTTGATTTCTCTGTATTCATTCTACAGCTCATGTATGTAGTGTCTTTAGCAATAAGCTCTTACCATGTCATTATGGTGAGTAACCAAGAGCACAGGCAATGGCCAATAATGTTTGAGGGGCTATGGGACACCTAGTCAACAGCTTCTTGAAAGGGAGTCCAGGGGACTGGAGAGATGGCTCAGCGGTTAAGAACACCGGTTGTTCTCGCAGAAGACCCAGGTTCGAATCCCAGAACCCATAGGGGATCTGACAGCCTCTTTTGACCTCCGTGGACATGCATGTATTGCCTGCGTGTAGGTAAGTGCACCTGTGTCGTGCAATGCCCGTGGAGGACAGAAGAGACTATCGGATCCCCTGGAACTGGAGTTACGGACAGTTGTTAGCTGCCATGTGGGTGCTGGGATTCAAACCCGGGTCTTCTGCAAGAACAACCAGTGTTCTTAACCGCTGAGCCATCTCTCCAGCCCCTAATCTCTTTTTATATTGTATATGTATATACTTTAAGAAGTGTCTATAGTGGTAGGTTTCCATTTGGCTTTTTTCTAAAGGTTTTTAGTGTTATGTATCTCTCCCCATACTCCTGCTTCTGCCCTGCCCTCCCAATCACCACTTTTGGCTATGCACACAAAGTGTACATAACATACAAATGAATTGTTTGAGCCAGGAGGGGTGGCACACAATTGAAATCCCAGCACTCAGGAGGCTGAGGCAGGAAGATCACAGTTTTGAGGCCACCCTGGGCTACACGAGTTTGTCTCAAACCGAAGAATGAATTTTGTGTTTAGGCTTGGGTCCCATCTTGAGTCTTGGGTCTCATTATTTATATGCTAATGTTTCAGAAGATTTTTAGAAATCCAAAATTTGGACTACTTCTTAGTTCCAAGTATTTCAAACAATGGGTACTCAACTTATATTTATTATACCATAACATTATTATGTTGCATTATTATATTAATAAATGCATGCATCAATTTCTACTTTTATTTATCGATCTTATTTAAAATTTCCAATTTGTGATTAAGCAGATTGCAATATCTGCAGTAAGATAAATATTGTTCAGTGATGCATATTTTTGTGTACAAAGTGTAATGCTTTGCTCAAACAAAATAAAAATCCATAAGAATGTGAAGGGGGGAAAATGAAGCACCAATAAAGTACTGTGTGTTCTGACTGGTCTCAAAATATTTGGATAGAAAGAAAAGCTACGCCTCCGAGGTGGCTGGAATGGGAGGCAAATCTGAGTCCAGTGAACCATCTTTCAGAGTCACTGCCTAGGACTGAATGAGTCCAGAGTTATCTGAGTAATGTGAAGAATGAGGAATTTCTACTGAAAAATCAACATTTCAAAGGGGTCAGATCATACAAAAACCCCATTCTACTGTAAGTGTGTGTACACAGGCAAGGACAATAAAAAATTAGATTTCTTAAATGAAACTTACTAAGTAACAGTGTATCTCGGGGCACCAGTAATAAATGTGTGAACTACAGAATTCTGCCAAAGGGGAAGAAAATAAACATTGTTACATTCACACACATAGCTTTCATTTTCTCCTAAATCCATTCAGAATCTGAAGGCTGATCTTTTTGACAGTCCCTCATCCGGCCTACTTTCCTTAGTCTATGACTGAGTCTGTTCTCTCCTTTGACATTTTGAGACTACAATGAAGTCCAGGCTTACTGAGACCCAAAGAAAGCTCAGTGCTTCCGCTGCAGAACTCTAATTCACAATCAACTGATGTAGAAGAGAGACTGAGGTTCGGGGACACTTGCAAACCACTGGCATTTGCAAACCATCTCACAAATGTTACAGAGTTTGAAACCACTGGGAAAGGGGGGCTCCATTTGGGGCCATAACACCACTGCCATCCCACAAACCCTCCCACCCTGCCTTCTTGCAAAACTTAATGTTCCTTCCTTACTCCTTAAACGCATCCCCCCAAATACAAGCTTTGTACACAAATACTGCTCTCGAAACATAAAAGGCTCACATGTGCAGAAAGGTTTGGGAAGGTGGGAGAGGAGAAGGCAGGCAGGGGAAGGAGAGGTTTGGATAAGGAGATGATCTAGCCACCACATTTGCCTGACACTCTGCCACACACCCACCCAGGCCGTGGTTGTTCTGCCCTGTCCCAGCCTGCCACAGAGCACGGAGGTTAGCATCATATGCCTCCATGGCTCTTTCAGGAGCCATCTGGAAAATCACGGGGAGTGTGTGTGTGTGTGTGTGTGTGTGTGTGTGCTCGCGCCCACTCCTGAATGCTGTCCCTCCAAATCCCTCTGCAGCATCATGCACACAGGCAGCCCCCACAGGGCTCAGAAAGGAACCGCATGTTTTCAGGGCCTCCACGGTTGTCAGCAATCTTTGGCTGGCTCTCCCTGTCTGCATCCCAAGAACCAGCACTGGCGACTTTGGGAACAGCCTGCCCCCTTCTGGTCTCCTTGAGCTCAGTGAAAGGGCAGGGGCTAGGGTGGGCGGAGCTAGAGGAGGACAGACAGACTCCAACCTCCAGCAGTCACACGTGCAATGCATCCCATGAGGGTGGATGTGGGAAAGGAGGAAGAGGGAAGAGAGACAAGAAAATAGTATAAAATACTAGTCCGGCTAAAGACAGGATAGTACGAAAATACCAGAAAGAGGAAAAGTGAAAGAAGTAAAATGCACATATGTCTGGGGGGGGGGGGGGGGGTGTGAAGAAATGGAGACACAGGGAGGCAGGTGCAGGTGGAGGATAACACCACACTGACAGATGGAAGGGAACTGCAAAAAGCCTAGCCATTCCACTGCTGGAACCAGAATTCCAAAAATCATTTTAAGAAAGAAGTGATATCCTGCCACCCTGCTGTCCACCTTCCCAATTACAACCCCACCCCACCCCAGCACCCCCAGGGGCTAGGCTGGGACATAAGAGAACAGCACTGATCTGACACACATGGAAGGGTTGTGGATGGCTGCTTGGAGCACCAGGGAGTTACGAAGAAATCTTTCTCTTTCCGCTTATCTCAACAGGTGGTCTATATACCCTGAATGTACCTCCTGAGCCCCAGATACAAAGGGTAAGCCAGTCCCAAGCCCCCGAGCCCACCCTGCATGTTCCCACACTATCAGCCAGCCACACAGGCTCCTAATCCCTCCCACCTCCCAGTAGGTCTCCAGGAAGAAGTCCTAATTTCATTTCTACAGGGAACACATCACTATCAACTCCAGGAGTTCAAAGGCAGTGCCCCAGTCCCCTTGACTATAAAGGACTACAGGACATTGAGAATGTTCAAGTTCTTCTTCGCAACCACACTCCACTCAACACCACAGGTGAGAGCAAGACTTCTCCCTGGTGACCACACAGCAGCCAAATACCATCAGATCATGTCTCAGCCCCCCTCCCCGCCTACCCAAAGGCACAGAAAGAGAACTCTGGCAAGGAGGGTCAGGCAATTCCAAAGAACTTCAGCACAGGAACGCTGTGTGAAGGCAGTCTTCAGCAAGGGCTGCCAGAGTGACAAGCAATAAATGGACTATTCTCTCCCTATAGACCCTGGGAATACTCCCCTGGTGTCTACTGTCTTTCAGAGGCTTTGCAAATCCCTGCAGGGAACTGGGACCATGGACAGACAGTCACAGGGCATATCACATCAGCCTTCATAAAGAGCTCATTCCCAAGCAGAACTGATCTCGTCCCAGAGTTAGGGACTCTGACCTTCTGTCCTAGCTCATAGGGATCCAAGGCAGCCTTCAGAAGGTGAAGAAACCCCTGAAGAAGTTGGGGATGGGGAGGACAAGTCAGTTCCCCACCTACCCGACGAGATGGCCCTGGAAGATCGACAGAAGACAGTTTCAGAGTCTACGTCCAAGGAGGGCAGAACACCCGGAGGTGTGGTGACAGTGTGGACAGCCAGTCGCTAAATGCAACCGGCCACCCATGTCGAAGAGACCGTTCAGATGGGACCAAGGAGCAGTGCCCTGAGCAGGAGGAGGTGAAGTGAGGAAGGGCCCCAGATAGCAAGGTTAGAGGCAGAGGCGCAGACATCCAGCCAGGAAAACCAGACCCTAAGTCAGATCAGGCACTCAAGACTCAGTGTTGATTCAGGGACACGGTGAGGGACTTGGGACACTCATTCCCGATTCCTTCCCAGGTCAGGACAAACACAGAAAGGCTGCGTGGAGAACCGCCCCTGGGCAGCGGCTGAGGATGCGGTCATGATCTGATGCACGCACTCGGGCTGGGAGTGAGGAACCAACGCCCCCACCCAGAGAGCAAGTGGGGCACACAGTAAAGAGTGACAGAGAACAGGAGCCCCGAGAAAGCGAGTCCCCCCTAGACATCACTTCACCAGACCCCAAGGGGGCTGTCCTCAGACTCTGCCCCAGCAGCTCAGCTCAGTGCACGACCCTTGCAGCTGGCCTGGGCAGTGAGCGCGCAGAGTCCCTTCCCATGCCTAGGTTGGGATGCGGGGGCCAATGGGGGGCGTGGGTAGGGCGGCCGGTCTGTCTCTCTGTCCCCCCAACCCCCGGGTCGCGATTGCGTTCCGAAAGGGCATCTTACCCTCTCCTGGGCGGCCAGTGCCCCACGGCTGGCTGACTGCTGCGCGCGGGCTTCTCCGGGGCCGCCTCCCCGCGCTCCTCCACCGCCTGCTCGGCCGCCGCCGCCGCCTCCGGGTGCTCCGCGGGCTGGGGGCGACTGGGCGGGCAGGTCCCGGCGCTCCCGGCGCGGGGCAGCCGGCTGCTGTCGCGGCTGCTCGGCTGCTCCGGCCACTGCCCCCGCGCGCCGCCGCTCGCCGGCCCCGGAGTCCAGGCTGCTGAAATTCCACACGACCAGCGTCTGCAGCAGCAGCACGGTGAGCGCAGCCAACAGCGCCGAGTGCGAGCGCCGCGCCAGCCTCCGGGCGCACGGCGCCGCCACCATCTTCCGAGGCGGCCCGGGGCGAGCGGGGCGCGGGGACACCCCGGTGCACGCTCGATCCCGGGGGCTCCACGCTCGGGCCCGCCGCCTGGGCTGGCCGCTGCTCCTCCTCCTCCTGCTGCTCCTCCTCCTGCCGCTGCTCCTCCTCCTCCTCCTCCTCCCTCTCCTCCTCCTCCTCTGCCTCTGCCGCCGCCGCCGCCTCCACCGCCGCGGCGCGGAGTTTTCAGACGGGCAGGGACCCGGACGTCACCAGGAGGAGGGGAAGGCGGGAGGAGGCACGGGGAGGCCGCGGAGGGGGCGCGGCGCACGGGGACCCGGCGCGGGGAGGGAGCCGGCCCTGCGCGCTCCTCCCTCCCCGCCGCCACTGTCTCCACCCCACCTCCGCCGCTCTGGGGTGGGTGGAGGGACCCGTGTAGGGGAAGGGGCCGCGGGGGACGCGGGCCTGGGGAAGAGGGCGGGGCCTGTGGGCGGAGCCGAAGGCGGCAGGGGGAGGCCGAGGAGGAAGAGGAGGAGGGAGAGAAAAGCAGTGGGGGTGATCGGTGCAGACAGACACCTCCAGGACAGGCGTGGGAGCGGGTTGGGGGTGAGGAAAGGCCGATGCCGCCGTAGAGCAGGAAAAAGTGGGGTACAGACGGGCCAACAGGGCAGCCTGGAGTGAGAGTGGCCCCAGCTCAGACTCAAAGGGAAGTCAGGAAGGAGAAAAGGGTCCTGAGACCCTTCCCAGTGGCAGAGAGCAAGAGGCGGAGTTGTAGCTAGTGCGGAGTTTTCGGTCCTGGGATTTGTGGTTCGCACAGAGAATCTTGGAAGGTGGAGACACAGGAGGAGCGTGGGAATGCCACAGGCACGGAAAAGTCCGGGTTCCTGAGGTCTGGGATTCCTGAATCCCTAGCCCCCTACCTACCCCCGAGGCCTGGGAGGAGGCGCTGACTGCCTGTCCGGGGTTAATCAGTACAAACACTGTGACTTCTGAGTCACCCCCACCACCATCACCACCACCACCATCCTGAGCCAACCAGTGATGCACTAAGGGCTCACTGAGTCACTTCTCTGGTCCCCAAGGACTCACAAGCCCACAGACTCCAAATCCTGTTAGCAAGTGAATGTTTTGTTGGCTAAATGAGTTTCCCAGCCTTCCCAGGCCTCAAGCCAGACGTGTCCAGCCACTGAGCCTGGTGCCCTGCCCTTCTTTCCATCCATCCATCAATCCATCCATCCCCCTGCCTGGCTGTCTGCATCAAGTCCAGATGCTGGGAGAATCCCTCTTGTAAAGAGAAATACTTTCCTGTCTTGAATGGTCCTTCTTGGTGACCTTGAGACATCAGGACTGTTCACTTGGCCTGAGCTCCAGCCTCTCTGTCAAAGAGGGTTTGGATGGAATGATGTCTCTGGACTCAAGTTTCATCCCAGCCCTCTTTGACTTAGTCATCTTGCCTTTCCCCTCTTGTCTAGAGTTTGTTATATTGTACCCTGAATGTCAGCCCGTGGATGGAAATGGTGTCTCGGTCTGTGAGTTGGGAACTTACAGTGAATCGTTGGCAACGGCCCTCCCCCTCCCCTTTGAACCTCATCCTAATTTTTTAAGGGAACAGAGTCTATCAGAAAATAAGGAAAACTGGAGAGGAGCCAGGTGGAGCTACAGGTTATTACAAGGGAATTGTCAATATAACTGCAGAGATGTAAAGGGCCACAGGTTCACCAGAGTGCATGCTGGGACAGCAGAGCAGTGTTTTCTGGACCTGTTTCATTAGCCAGCCTGCTGCCCTGAGATTCTAAACTCCAGACCAAAGTCCACCTTCCAGCTCTACAGTGAGGCATAGCAGTATTCCCCTGGGTTCAGCCCACTTCAGGAGAGAAAGAAAGAAGAAAGAGGTAAGCTCCCAAGTTCACTAGCCTCCTGTTTATCTGTGTGTCAATTAGGAGTGTTTACAGTTTAAGTAATAAAATACCTCATTTAACTATCTAAAAATAGACCTCACTGGATCATATAACTGGATATTCCAGAGGAAAGACTCCAGGCCTGGCTTGAACCTGCAAACCAGAACTCCAGTTTCTCCTCCTTGTCTCCCACAGGGTCTATCCACATGGGCCTGGCCTCCATGGTTGAGACTACTTGTATCTTGAGTTCATTTCTAGTCCAGGAATCCCTTCAAAGAGCCAGAGATACTTTCTCATGGAATCATCCCCGGATCCTAGGCTACCCCTAAACCAGCCACAGAGGCCAGGAAGTAAGGCTGTGCCTATGGGTCTGACCAAGCTCCCATGCTTCATCTCGGGACTTGGGATGAAGCCAGTATCTCTATAGCACTAAGATGCTGCAAAGGGACACAGGTTGGCTGGATAAGAGTGAGTGGGTACAGGAGAGTGGCCTTCTTCTATCCATGAAGCCTCCATTGAGGCTTCTCCAATGCAAGCAAATCATGTCCCCTCCCAGGCCCTCCGCTTCTTCAGTGCAAATTGTGTGTCTGGATGAAATGGTCCCATGGGGTCACACTTTATCAAGCCTCCCCATTGAGCCACTATCCTGTAAACACAGCTTCCCAATCCTGCTTTGGCTGTGTGGAGGATCCCAGCCCTTTGGCCCACTTTTGCTTCAAGATTTGTGCTGCATTTTGCCCTTAAGCATCAATGATGTGTGCTTCCTCCACAAGACAAGGTTAACCACAGTCCTCCAGGGCCCAGGCTGTGAGTCAGATTCAGCTACCTCAGTTCCCCCAGCCCTGGGCTTCAGCCCTGAGGTTAAAGATCGGGGCCCAAGTCTCTGAAGAAGCATAGTTGTTTATCTTGACTCATAAAAAGCCATGCAAGGGGCTGGAGAGATGGCTCAGTGGTTAAGAACACTGACTGTTCCTGCAGAAGACCTGGGTTTGAATCCTAGCACCCACAGAGCAGCTAACAACTGTCCGTAAATCCAGATCCGACAGTCTCTTCTGTCCTCTGTGAGCATCGCACAACATGGGTGCACTTACCTACATGCAGGCAGTACGTGCATACACATAAAATAAAAATAATAAATAAAATATTTTTTAAAGCCATGCAAGAAAGAGGTTTAGATGCTCCAGGCATGTTAAGGATGTTCATATAGGCGTTCATATGATGGCTTCAGGGGATGAAAATTCACCTGATGTCCCTTCTGGGGTCATCCTCTTCCTGCTCCAGCCCTTCAAGCATCTTAAACTGGAAAGGTAAAGATGGACCAGAACAACAGATGGCTTGGGTCTAGGGACGGGGATAAATTGGGGAGCCTAGAATGTCCATCTTAGTATGGGCAGACACAGCTGGGAGGTCCAGCAGTTGGGTAGCCTAAGTTTACTGAGCCATATGAAGCAGGAGTGGCCTCTTTGCGTTAAGAGGGACCTGGACTTTCACTTTCCAGTAGTGTACAGAGAGGCAGGTGGCTTTGATGGATAAGAGAGAGCCGAAGGTATTGCCTAAGACTCTGCACCGGCTCCAGCCATAGCAGCCGGACTCCTTGGGATTTTTAAAGCTCACTTGTTTATTCCACAGAGATGCATGGGACCCTGTTACATGCCAGGCATCCTGCTGGGCAAGCAAAATCTGGGGATGATGAAGATTCCCCAAGGAACTTTTCTTTTTAAATATGGTTCCCATGCTCCCACACCATGGTTCCCAGGAGCCTGAGCTCCAACGAAGTTCCACCTGATTTGTGGGATTCTCACCACTACTCTAAGCCCCAAATCTTATTTCTCCACTACCTTCCAGGATGGAAGACTGAGTTAGCCACTCGTTTTTTGAGTTCTTGTGTGTGCTCAACCCTGAACTAGGAAGTGCAAGGGAAATCAGCAGGGTAGTCCTTGCCCTCAAGAAAATGTTCAGTGGGACAGAGAGATGAGACAGTAATGTGAGGGTCAGTGTGATGAGCGAATGAGAACTAGATTTCCCAGACTTGATGCTTAGCTTTCCTGCGTTTTGTGCGTGCGTGGGGGCGGGGGTCTTGGAATTGCCAGTTGACTGACTTGTCAGCAATCTCCTGAGAGTCATCTCTCCCTGCTTCCCCAGCGCCAGGATGACAAGCATGTGCTATCATAACCAGCTTTCATATGTGCCTTCTGGAGATTGAACTCAGATGAGAGTCATCTCTCCCTGCTTCCCCAGCGCCAGGATGACAAGCGTGTGCTATCATAACCAGCTTTCATATGTGCCTTCTGGAGATTGAACTCAGATCTCCATACTTGCGAGGTCAGCTCTTTACTGACTGATTTAACTCCTCAGCCTCTCTGCTGCATTTTAACTGAGATTTTGAGCATCCATTGTTAACCTCTGTGCCTCAATATCTTCATTCATAAAATAGGGCTAAAAGTAATGGGGTCTTTATGTTAGATTTCTCATAAAGATTAAATGAGATAACTCATATAAATATTTTGCCATCAGGGCTGACATATAAAGCCAGCCATGGTGGCACTCACCTATCATCTCAGTAGTTGGAAGGTAGAGGAAGGAGGATCACCAGCTTGAGGTCAGCCTGGGGTACATAGTGAGTCCCTGCCTCCAAAAAAGTTGGTACCATCAATAATGAATGACTAAAAACATCAGAGCCCCAGGCATGGTGACCCATGCGTTTAGTCCCAGTACTCCAGAGGCAGAGGCAGGTGAATTCTGTGAATTCAAGTCCAGCCTGGTCTACATAGTGAATTCCAGGCCAGCTTGGGGTACAGGGAGACCCTGTCTTAAAAGAAAAAAAAGACCAAAAAAATACATAGAACAGAAGGGGTTACTTAGGGAAGGTTGCCTGGAGGAGACTGCATAAAATCAGGACTTTGAAAGAAGACTGGGGTATCTCAAAAGGTAGGGCCTTCCTTTGTCTCTGCTCTCTCTAGCACATGCTGCAGTGCAGGGTGCTGGACGAACTTTGTATGTGGAGGGAACATCAATAACAGGGTGGTGGCGGTCAGGTAAAATGAGGCAGGGGTGTTTCTCCACAAAAACAAAACAAAACAAAACAGGTAGCAGTTACAGCCTAGTGCAAATCTAACTTCCAACACTATCTCAGCAACTGTTTTCATTGCAGGATTTGTGAGCAGGTTTCTCAACATCCTTGAACCTCAATATTGTGAAACGAAAAACGAAGGAAAAGAAGACTCAGGTCTTGTGGGGGGGTGACATGAAAATGGGGACTTATATGAAAGAGTATGCCATCTACTTTATGTGAAGTGGAGGAACTGGACAGCAGAGGATGGAAAGATCATCAGCCAGGTCACAACCTGATCAGGCTGTAAAGAAATACCGAGCACCTTCCCTGGATGGTAGTGCCACAAGGTTCTGGAGAGCTGGGGCTCAGCACACATCCTTCTGAATTTAA